GACAGGTCTTACAGAAAGATCAGATGGATGCCAGAAAACTTGTGAAAGATTGTTAGATGATTTCACAGAATCAGATTCTGGACCTTCTTTAAATTTTTGGCTTCTAGGCTGGGAACTGACACTAGGTGGAGTAGCGGCCACTTCAGCATGATCTGAGGCTGATTCCAGATCATATGCTCTTGATTCATCCGAGGCAGGTAAATTACTAGCTTGTTGGCTATCTAATTGTTGAATGCCTTTATCCGTTTCTTCCAGCTTTACCAGCTGCTGTTTTTGACTAGATAATTTGTCATCATGCGAACAGGTTGGGGTCTCCGATCCATCTGCTTCATCGTTTGCCTCATCTTCAGTGTTCTCATTAAAATCAAGTTCCATATCATTGTTCCCAATTTTGACTTCAGAATCATTCTCAGAGCCTTTAGGCATGGGCCTCCGGTAATTTTCTTTGTCATTCTCCTTCTGTAAATTCGTTTTTGCAATTCTTGACAACCTTAAAAGGCTCACATGCTTATTAAAACGAGAAGAATCTTTCCGTTTCTCCTCAACTCCTCTGCCAGAAGACTTTGTTTGAGTTTTACTGCCGACTGGTGTATCCTTAATAGGTGTCTCATGGCCTCTTGAACCCACAACAAAATTTTCATCCTGTTTTAAAGGCCCCTTAGAAACTTTTCCCCGAGATTTAGGAGGAGTCTTGCTTTCAGAAGTTCTGTCACCATTACGTTCTGAGAGACATGGTTTAGCATGTGATTCTATCATATATTCAAAAGCAGGCTGAGGAGGTAAAGGTACTGAAGTGAATTTAGTTCTCCAGAAAGCAAGCCCACAAAGATCAGGCCATTGTATCCTCTGAGCTGGATCTTTTATGAGGAGAGAATTAATCAAATTAACAAAAGGACGGCTTGGACTTCCAGGAAGAGGTGGAGTTGGGTCTGAGAGGATGGATTTTACCAGCTGAGTGAATTCTCTTGCTACAAAGGGAGGCCTCCCTGTATAACACTCATACAGCACACAACCTAAGGCCCAGAAATCAGATGCATAAGAATGGACACCTCCATCCTCAAACAGCTCAGGAGCCATATAACAGGGTGTTCCACGTTTTGCTTGTGGCAACTAAAACAAGTTAAATTATGACAAGGAACAACTTAGAAAGCAAAGTTGAAAATATCATTTCAGACTTTAATCTAGGTAATTAATATCATATTTATAGCAATTAATGCATGGCAATAAGTAATAACTAGAAGAACTTACCATGGAAGAAGGAGTTTTAGATATATCACTTAATTTCCTTGCCAATGCAAAGTCACATAGCTGCATTGCATAAAAAAATAAGAATGTCCAACTAAGATGCATAGGAATAGTGAGAGCAACTTGACTTAAATGGAAACTAAATGCATAAGTACCTTTATGTGGCCATTTTCATCCAACAGGATGTTTGATGGTTTCAGATCACAGTAAATGATTCCCTTCGAATGTAAAAATCTGAGAGCAATAATCTTTTTCATAAATAAACTTTTTAAGAAAGGGAGTGGTTGGGAAAGAAGAAGATATATCATTTACTTGTTTTCTGAAAAGGAGAAATGACAAAGATAGATGAATTTCTTACTGCAAAGCTCTAATGAGATCATGGGCAAAATCATGAATTGAATCTTCGGGCAGCTGGCCATCCTGCAGCTCATCCATAAGATATTAGTAATGCAACTCCTAGTATGTTTTTAGACATTGCATTCCAACTTCTAAAAATAGAAACCCCCAACCACAGCACAACAAATCATTGGATAAAAAATCAAATTAAGGAAAAAGTACCAGCATACTTCAGTCACACTTATTCAAATTTAGTTGTTAGTAAATATTGTCATCCGTTATACCGTAAAGGGGAGGATGTGGAATGCAAGAAAAAACTAAAAAGAACAACAAAATCAACATATACTGTCAAATTGAAAGCAATTTTTTCCCCTAAGATGAAAAACAAAGTCTAGCCTACTGTGCTGTTCCTTATTTGATAAATGTATGTCTTTCAAAAACTCAGGCAAATTGATTGATAGACAACAGTCACTGATCAAGTGGAAAAGGCATATGATGCTTACACAATATCAAAGTGTTCCCATGGGACTAGTTGGGCCAAAGGCCTGGGTACCCATGCTATCAAAAATAATATCACTGTGGTATACTTATATAATAATCATGGGTGGATTGATTTTGCCAGGCAACAAGAGCAGGCTATCTCTCAGTTATGTTAACATTGAAAAATATAAATCTTTGCTGGAAAGACAAAGTTATGTTAGTGTCCATTTTACATTATTTACTGTCTAAATATCTCCACCTCCAAAATCCTATCTCATTGTTGAAACATGGAGCTTGTTTTGGCCAATGTAATAGCTCAGAACATGGAATAAACACAAAATCTATAGTCCATCTCAGTGAAGAATCAAAATACGCTTGTCAAAGATATACAGAGTTCAAACAAGAATTAAATTACTCAATAGGTACCTGCCGTAATAAGGACATGAGATCTCCCCCAACGCAATATTCCAAAACCAACCACAAATGTGCTGAAGTTTCATACCTAATTCACAAGTCAAAACATTCAGGGGAACTTACTACGAACGAGGAGGAAAAACATACTGATAGACATAACACCTCATACGTATTGCTAACAAAATTAAAAAAGACTCGAAGATTCTTCTTCAAGCTTATATGCATCCTTACCAGGAATAGAATTTCAGCACGTTAGGATGATCTAGAGAGTGAAGAATCCTAACCTGCATATCATACAGAATGTAACAAGGAAAGTTAAAATTAGCACAGTACTCATCTGCCAAATGTGGAGCTTAAGTATACGCAAATAACAACAATTTGCAAAGTTGATTGAGTGAGAACAACATTTTGCTACGTCTAATGCAATATCACAAAAAAATCATTCAAACAAGCATTAAATCACTTAGATCCAGATTCCAGAGTCATTTTAACTTCAAATTAGCAGAACCATTCCAAAATTTCACTAAGACGATCTCCCATTTTCCTGAATAAAGCTTGAATCCATATATTACTTCCATAAACCAGCAATTTGAAGCAAAAAATCGCCACGAAATTCTAAGAATCACGGCCTTACTTCTTGGAGAACCTTGCTCTTCTGCGATTTATCAACACTTTTGATCGCAAAGTACTCGATACTCTTCTTCTTCCTCCCTTTGTACACGGTCTACACAAAATCAACCAGAAACAATAAATCAATCAACAAAAACACCACGAAATTCAAGATTATTCAAGAATCGAGCAGGCCGAAGTGAAGCTAACCGAATGTTTGCCGCGGCCGATGGCTTCGTAGATGTGGTAGTGATTCATGGTTGCCGGAGTAGCTCTATAGGGCTTTCAGAGAAA